AGATTTTCATGTTCCCTTTCTATCTATTTCCCACTGAAGCTATGGTAATAATAAATCTAATGCTTGCCAAAAAATATGAATATTTTAGCAAATTCTTTAGTAACAATTATAACTTGGGTTAATTTTCTATCTGGGATTATATACTAATAGGAAAATACTGGATTGACCCAAATATTGGCTGTCCTTCTGATGCCATTGAAGTTTTCTGCAACTTCACTGCAGGTGGTCAGACGTGTTTAACACCACCATCTGTGACAAAGGTATGCATTGTTTCCTGGGAGGTTCTGTTTGTGCTGAAACTTCAAGCAAATGATTGCTTGTTGACTCAATGCGTGAGAAGATGTTAGATTTCAAGGGAGTGTGGGGTGGGGGTGGGGGGCTGAAGGACGTGTTATGTTTGTCTTTGTGAAGGACGTGTTATATGTTCTGGTAAGGAAGTTGCAGAATGTCTGGAGACGATGTATGTTACTGTAACTGTCACTTTCTTCATTTACTCATCTTCCATGCTAAAGGAATTATTTCATTTTGCTTTACACCTTTCTAAAAATGGCATAAAAATAAGCCTGAAATGCTTCTAAGCTATGTTAGTAACTCATCACTTAGGGCGGCTAAGTGTGTAATGCTGACATCATTGCAATGGAAAGGAAAAAAAATATCCTGTTCAACACCTAGCTACTGTTAAATGCCTTGTTAGGTGAAGACTGGTTTCCTTTATGTCGTTAGTCCATGCTGCCCATTGCATGTGGTCCTCAAACCACTGGGAGTAGACATTTTACATTTATGGAGTTTTGCGTATCTACTTCAGCCATCAAAGAGCATCAGAAATAACATAAAGCTCCATATGCATTCCTACATTTGGAAGATTCCTGAATATGACCTGGTCTTGGAGAAATTCTTGTTGAGGAATGTATAACTGTATTTTCTGTCTAAAATCAAAGTATGCTTATAATTTTCAGGCTATTAACAGGATGTAGGTATTGGCAGCCAGAACCTGTGGACTAAGAAGACTAATTAGCAGAAAGGTGCAACTGCAGTTCAAGCACTGCTGCTGCTATTATCTTTCTTTGAATCACAAAATCCTTTGTCTCAGTTTTCTTATTTAAAAATAGTGTTTTCTGCCTAGCTATGTTTCAACAGTATTGTAAGCATTAGCAAATGTTTCTTTTTAAGCTTTGAAAATGTCCAGGGAAAGTTTCATTATGAAGTAAGCACTTTAACAGGACCTAATAGTTCTCCTGAAAAATACAAATGATGCTCTTCGGCACTGATCCCCATGTATAAACATGTGTACGTGCTCCTATGTGTAAATATTGCACTAGTATACGCATGTCACTTTGCGTTGTGGTGGCCGTTTGGCATGGCCCAGCTGTACGTCTAACTGTGTGTTTCTTTTGGAACTTAGCTGGAATTTGGCGTTGGAAAAGTGCAGATGAACTTTCTTCATTTACTGAGCTCAGAAGCAACCCACAGCATCACAGTTCACTGTCTCAACACACCAATGTGGGAATTAAATGAGGCAGGTGGCCAGAAAACATCAGTTAGCTTCAAAGGTTGGAATGGACAAGTATTTAAAGCAAATACGCTGCTCGAACCGAAGGTGCTGATGGATGAATGCATGGTAAATACATTTTAGCATTTGCATCATTAAAACCATAATGGAGTCACTGTTTAGGCAAGATTAACTTTCAGCAAATAATCTTTGAGAACAATTTTTTCCTGATGTTGTGACAAACTTAGATATATACGCCCTGAAGTTTATTTCTTACATTGTTCTGCACATGTAGGCATACACCAACCTTCTGATATTCAGTACAACATCTACTCAAGTACAAAAGCAATTCCAGTAATATGGAGACGATACTTGTTGTTCTCATTAAATAAAAAATATTTGAAGACCCTACTAAGACTCTGAAGAGAGATGGGAATAGAAGTAAGGAGGTCCTCAAGGGGATTTTAGGAATGGTTACTCTCAGAATGAAAATTCAGACTTCAATGATAGTTCGCTTGAGGTTATATAGCACAAAATCTCAGTTTTGAAGAAACTGGTAATTATTTTTGGACAGCTAATTATCATTAAAGTAATTGACTATGAGTAAATTATTTTTTTCGAGGTGATTTAGCAAGAGATCTAAGAAGCTGTGTGAGCCCAGGGCTTCTTGCAAAGTGGCAGGCTCTCTCCCCTGAGCCCTGTTGCCTTGCATCTGCATCTGCCCCAGCTGTATTCTGGAGTGGGCTGAGAAGTCACAGTTTTGCCATGAGTGCCTGTGATGTTCTGTGGGAGAAATAGCTTTTGTTACATTATAGAGTTTCTTTATGAACCGCTGGGAGAAGAAATGTTTCTGTACATTTCTCCTCTCACTCCTTAAGCACAGCTTTCATTTGTGTTTCAAACCTCATCTTTGATGTGAATTTAATATTCTGCTTCTGTGTGTTGCAGATTCAAGATGGCAGCTGGCATAAGACACAGTTCTTTTTTCACACTCAGGACACGAATCAGCTTCCAGTTGTTCAAGTTAACACACTTCCTCATCTCAAACCAGGGCAGCAGCACTTCATAGAAAGTGGTTCAGTGTGCTTCCTTTAAAGGTTCTGTCCTGGTTCTTTCTGCATCGGCATGGAATTGCTGCACAGGTTGAGTGCAAGAGTAATGACCTGTTATAGGCAAAATTGCTATGAAACTGAAGATTCATTTTGAACAGTGTTGGTTAAAGAAGGAAAGACTTCCTCCTAAGGAGAAATGGCATTTCAAAATAAAGAAAAGAAAAGAAGACTGCAAGATTTTTCCTAAAGTATTCAAATCTCTTTTTAATACTGGTTGGTGCTTTCTTGCATAATTTCCTGAAATTGAATATCTGAGCATGGAATTTTTCAGGACCTCTAGTGTTCTTGGCAATTTGTTTAACAGCACTACAAAAAAACATCCCAAGGAAAGCTGGAGACATACAATACTAAGGAGCAATACTGGCTAATGCTCCTAAATGTGCAATAGCTTATAAATGAAAAGTGAATTATGCCACAGTACAATACATCGTCTTTTCTTAAACATTAAGTTTTATTATAGTCCTTTGTGGACATATTCATCTTAACAGATGGCACACTACCTCTATGTGTTTCCTGTCCGCGTTGCCTTGGTGCTCTTCATAAGACAAGGTGCTGGTGGCCTTAGCAGAGATTGAGTCCCTTTTTATCTTTCAGACTGTATGTGCTGGTTACATCAGGATATGTTTCTGTTGTCAAGGTACTTATTTTAAATCGTTGGTCACATACTTCACTACAATTAAAACATTATTTATGTGGATTTCTTGTTTTAAATATTTTTATGTACTGTTGCAGAAATGGTATATAAGACAGCACGTTGTATATGATGCATATAGTCCGAACAGTTAGCTTTGTAAAAGTTGTTTTTAGAAGAGCTACTTGCAGTAGATTTGAGTTTTAGATTCTGAATGTCAAAGGCATCTTAAGATGATGATATATTGTGTATATATTTTGTAACTAGTTAAGCAAATTACTACAGCATGTCTTCTGAAAGACTGCTGTTAAATTATAATCAACATTTCATCAATTTAGAAATTTCTTTTTTTTTGCAATATTTTTAGATCATTTGTTTCCTTAAATTAAGCCTAAAATTTTCAACCATCTTTATTAAAAACAAACAAAAAACAATTTTATCATTAGGAAAAACACTCTTTAATAACTCTCTTATTAAGTGACATATCTATTATCAATCCAAAGTCTACTGAGGAAGATGGCAGATAAGTGGAAAATGATACCAAACCATACTGCACAGCAGGGGCGTGTTCAAACAACTGGTTTAATTGTCTTGATCCACAGGAAAGCATACTTAAGCTATAATAAAATAAGCTTCCAAACTGTCTGTTTGTCTTTTACTATTTTGTTTTGGTACTGTATAGTTCATTCTCAGCAATGATGGAAATACTCTAGAAACGTACTTTTTAGGTGCTAGTGCTTTGTTTTCCAAGGGGAAATGCCATGGAATATTGCACAAGTATTTACTTTTTACAAGGTAAAGTACATGTACATCTGATGTTTTTGATTAAAGCATTTTTTTGTTACCTGTGAGAAAATCTGATCAAAGACTCTGTAAGATCATTGAATGACAATAAAGGTTATAGAAAATTCCTTCCTGTTGCTTTTGCATTTTCAAGATTGCTAGTTTTGCCAGCATCACTTGATGTTTACTCTTAGTTTGTCTTTGGAGTTGATGTGATAAATATATATATATATATTTTGTAAGAATGTTAGAAAATGTTCTGCTTCATGTGTATTTTTTTAATCTTATTGTCTTACTTTTGGAAATTATTTATAGCCTGTATTTGTTTTTTCTTAGTTCCTATCAGAAATCATCTATTTTAAAAGCTAATACCTTAAAGCATTATTAGTCTGCTCAGATGTAAATATCTTCATTTCTGTTATTAAGTCAAAAATGTAAATTCCTTGCCCACAGCACAAAGCCCTTGTGCACCAGGCCACTACCAGACAGTAATGTAGTGTGGTGCTTGAAGTAGGAGGCTGCCAGAAACAGCTGGCAGAAAGTATCCTTTTTGACAGTGTACTTTATACATAGCGCAGCATGAGTTTTGGAAAGCTGCTTGCCTACAGCCACCTGAGCTCTTCAGAGCATTCCCAGGAGCTCTGGCACAGCTCTGTCCTACAGTGTTGTGACTGTTAATTTCTAATGGTTTGAGGCAATCATCCCCTTTGTTACCCTGAAGTTTAGACCAAGCCCTGAGCTAGCCCACGGCTGTGTGTCAGCCCCCTGCTGAGGCAGGGCCGTTTCCACCCGGTAGGGCCGCGGGAGCCGCCAGGCGGCGCTGCCGGCCGGGGGAAGGCCTCGGCCGGGCTCTCCCCATCGGGCCCCGCGTGCGGAGGCGGCGCCGCGCGGCCATGGCGGGGCAGGGCGGCCCCGGGAGCCCCGGGCGGGCGGCCGGGGGGCGGAAGATGTCCCTGCAGAGGTAGGGCCGCGGGGATGGGGCGGCCTCGCTGCGCCCTCGGCTCCCCTCACGGCCGCGGCCCGGCTCGGCTCGGCCCGGCCCGGGGGGCGCTTCCCGGGGGCTCCGGAGCTGGCGGGGGGAGGCAGCGGCCCGCGGCGGCCTCTCCTCACCGCGAGGCCGCTGCTCGGGGCCGGGCCTGCCCCTGCCCAGCGGGGTCCGAGCCCTTCGGCGCTGCCCTGCCCCGGGCATCCTCGCTCCTGCCGCTGTGCCCGGCGAGGGAGGAGCGGCGGTGCCGGCCTGGCTGCCCAACGGGGTGCGGGGCGGCTGGGCTTGCGGGCAGGGGCTGCGGGGGAGGCACCGTGTGGGCTCTGCCCGCTGGCGTTGGGTGCTGCGGAGGATATTTAAGGTGTGGCAAAGTGATGGGAAGCTCCGGGTAACGGCTGCTTCAGGCTCTGTTTCGCAGCTCGTGCAGGAATCCTCATGCTCGCCCTCTCCTCGTAAAAAGAGGGGAGATGTCATTCTTGTACCGGCCTAGTCAAAAAGTAGGAGGCCGTGGGTGTGGAGGAGAGCACAGCGAGGCTGTGTTCAGTAGCAGGGTTTGTAGGGCTTGCCCGTTGTGTCTGTGGTGGGTGCCCTCAATGCGGGCCTGCCCTGCTGGGGAAAGGGGATGTTAGGTCGTAGTGTGAACTCCGGACACTAATGAGCCCGGTTTTAGACAGATGGGAGGTAATAATGCACATTAAGAGTAGTAATGTAAATGCAGAAAGGCACTGAGAGAGCTGGCTGCAAAGCACAAAGTGATGCAGCCTCGCTGTGCTTCCAGCCCTGCATTAGCTTGGTGTTCCTCAAAGCATCTCTGTGGTGCGTTTTAATAAAGGTAGGACCCCAGTATGTGTTTGGAGATACTCACTGCAGCTCACGTTACTGTGTCTGCTAGTTTATCTAATCCAAGCTATCTGTGTTTTCCCTCCCTCCTTTCAAGGTCCAGGTAATGTTACCCAAACGTGACAGCCGATGGCACCGTGCCTGCCTGTTGGGTGGTGCCCTCCCTAGCCACTGCCAGCTGGGCACAAAGCTGCCGCTTTCCTAAGAGATACTTTCTGCTTCTTTTAGATGTGAAACATGTAGTGAAGAGGAAGCTAAGTACAGATGTCCGCGATGTATGAAATATTCGTGCAGGTATCTAATATCTAACTTAAACTGTTGTGTGTCTTGTGCTGAACGTGGCATATTAATGGTTCTTTATTTGTGTCATTTCAGTCTGTTGTGTGTAAAGAAGCATAAGCTTGCACTGAGCTGTAATGGAATCAGGGATAAAACATCATTTATCTCTGTAAATGAATTTACCGACTTGAACCTTCTGAGCGGTAAGAATATTCCTTGTGCTTTTTAAAATTCACCATTTTTAGTAGGTTAGCTAAAAAAACTACGTTTTTTTTCTGTTCTGTTTTTGCTTTCAGATTACCGTTTCCTGGAAGATGTAGGAAGGACAGCTGATGCTGCAGCTCGAGATCTTTCTGTGCATAGGCCAACAACAAATAAATTTGTAAGTTTTAAATAGCCAGTTGGTCTGTTGGAAATAGGGTTGACTACCTTTACATTCCCACTGAGTCAGTCCCAGTCCAGATTTCAGAGCTGATAACCTCTACTGTGAAGGTATGGATGACTCTGGATATTAGAGCCAGAAATCAAGGAAGGTCTCCAGGTTTATGTAATAGTAGTATTGGTGGCTACATCCAGTTGCTTAGAAGAATAAACTGCTAACAATCTATACATTCTCCAAATACTTGATGCATGGCTGTTCTCCTGGGTTGAGGATGACAGATGTGTATTAAGAGAGACTGATTGCTCCTATCTACCTCCACAGCTTTTCTGAATTTTTACATGCAATATTCTCATGTAAACAACATGGGATTTTTTTGGCATGTTTTTGCCTAAAAATTATTACATGCTTCCCCATTTACCAAACCAAGATAACTAGAGTTCTGCAGAGAATAAATCTAAGCAACTGTGAAGTAAAAGCTAACGTGCTAAGGATGAGAGGTGATTTTTCTTGAAATTCTTCTAGTTCCAGTAGAGCATCAATGAGATCACAGAATTAGATGTCATTTCGTAAAAGCCACATGACAGAGCAGGGAAGACCAAGATCAAGAAGTATAAACACCAAAATGCACTCCAAAATACGTTGTCTCATTTGTGTGTCAGAAAAAGGTGTCAGGGCCCTGTTTTCCAATCCTGTGAAGACACTTTTTAATACAGCACTCAACTCCTCAGTTGGAGAGAATTCATGTTGATTTTTTTAATGCCAAGTAGATTTAGAAGTCTTCATTGGTCTCTTAAGCTGCTGTCATACTCTGTGTTATAGTCATGATGTCTTGAAAATGTACATTCAAAATGGCGAGATGCTCCAGAGGTAGCAGTTTTTAGCATGCGGTACTAGGCGTGTTTGCAGGATGATATCCTTCACGCTACCTTTAGATAGGATTTTGTCAAAGTGGCTGAGGAGGTGCTTGTGTATCCCATCCACTAGCAGGGTTGTAGCTCAAAAACCGGCTCAGTGAGTGGTTTTGCACCCATGGTGGGTGTTCGTGACTTTCACAGTATGTTGAAGAACTTTAAGTGGGAAGAGGTCATTGGCATGTTGTTTTTAACTGGAAGACTTCACCTGAACATGTTTCAGGTAGTGTCCAGGCTTGCTTTATTGACTTGCTCACTCACAGTGTTTTGTTTATTCAAAAGTCAAAGTTCAACATTAAATATGGCCTTTTCTCTAATGTTCCCATAATTCCTTTCATGTTTACTCTTCATTTTTTGCTTTAATGTTCCAGCTTTGTGTATACAATTCAGATTCAAAAAAAAAAATTTATTTTTTGCTAGATAAATTACTTGAGAAACAGAGCTCGAAGGCATAATATCAACCTGAAGACACTGCCCATTGGATTTACAAAAAGAAGAGAAAATTCAACCATCTTCAATAAGAAGTGAGTCTTCAGTCGGTTAGTTAGCAATGTTTTGCTTTCACTGAACACAAACTGATGGGAATCTAAATTCATACTGACATGCTTGCTTTTAAAATCTGGTATGCCTTTTTTTTTTTTTTTTTTTTTACAAAAGCTATTTCGATTTAATATCTCCTGCAGCACTTTTTTCATTTTTAGTCTCTTTGAGCTCAGTTTTATAGCTTATGCAATTCATACATTATTTTGAAAAATACCAACATTAAGTAGTAGGTGGACAAATTAGTACTGTTGTGATTTTCATCTGTTAAATGGCAGTCTGAAGGCTTTTGGGGGTTTTGTTGTTAGAAAAAAGAAAACTTTCCTTTAAAGGTTTATGATAGAAGATTGATGTAGAATGGTTGCTGAAAATTCCTCTCTCTGAAAATAGCTGTCTTTAAGGCTGAAAGGGGTGCTTCCAGTCCAGTTACCTGCTGCATGTCATCTTAGGGTTGATGTATGTTGTAGCATGTGCACAGCGTAGACAAGTGCAGACAGACAGATGTGACGTCAGGAAAAAGGCTAAGATTAAGAAGACTTTCGGTGTTCTTTCTTTTTTTCTACTCTTATGAGTTTTCTCTGGTATCCAGACTTTGTGTTTTAAAGTATTTTTGTTTGTTTTCAGTTTTGTGTTTGTTTTTTTTTTTTTTACTATGAAAAAAGTACTGCAGAGTACTCTGTTATGACAGGAAACAGGTCACGTTCAGCTTGAAGATCTGTGCTTCTTGCAGTAATTAGATGTGGTAGCTGTCTAGCACATCTAATCTATTAGATGTGCTGGCTCCTCCTCTTCATATCCTTAGTTCTGGTAGCAAGTTCTGGTTTCAATATGCATTTTTCCCTCTGTTCTTGTGACTTACAAACCACAATCTAAAGAGCAGTGGCTGGAAGTGGTGAGGTGCCTGTGGCTTGGGAGCTGCCACCAGGTGTCTCTCTCTAATAACCAACCTGAAAAGCTGCTCTGCACACTTCCCAGTATCATCCGGTATCATCTCCTCTCATCTGCTGTTCTGAGACACAAGTGTTTTTTTGTTATTGTTTTTTTTTTTAATACAAATATTTAGATTTTTTTAGCTGAACAGAAGGCATAAAAATCTGTAGAAGTGTAACCTTTGAAAGTTGCATAATTTGCAAGCTCTGCCAGAGCAAATCCATGGCAGACCCATGGAAAGAAAGGAAATCTGGGGTGTTTTCTCCATCTCTCTTCAGAACAGAGTAGAGGATAGACCCAGACCTGGTAGATCCTAGCCATACGAGCAGAGGCTGCCTTCCGTTGTACTGCCTTCCTTTGCTTTGGCCACATGTTCAGCCTTCTACAGATATCTTGTGGAGGGCTTGTTCTATTGAAGTATCTCAGGCTTATGGCCGAGCTGGGGCATTTCCTCAATGTTGTGGATAAAACAAAATAGGCATCCCTGGCAATACAGGGTAAGGGAGTAGTGTTATAGAGCCAGAGCAAGGGCAGAAGGCCCAGTGATGGTGGGATCAGCAGCTAGGTGTCTGAAGACAAAAGAACAGAAGAGGCACACATGAAGGGTTTTTGACTCTATTGGTAGGATCCTGGGCATGCTGCAACCCTGTGCTGACAGAAATTTGCCTCCACATAACACATTCTTCAGTTCTTTTTCTCTAGAAAGTCTTTTTGGGTACATACTGAAACGTACCTTCTGTTGATAACAAATGAAGCTTTAAGCAGGTTACGTTTTGACGTGTTTCTGTTGTTTAACAGAAGCAGATTTAAAACCTAAGAGGATGGGGCAACGAAAGTGACATTGGCAAACAGGTGTGGAAGTATCTCACAGGCTGTCTGGGATGATGCCTTACTCTTTTGTCAATCATGAGGACCTGGGGTGTTTTTTTGTGGTTGTTTTGGACAGTTATCCTTTCTGGGGCTTTCAGATCCCAGCAGAAAGAACATGGTAACGTTCTAAGAGGATAGGAAGTAGCCCTCTACTTCCTGTACATGCTGCCCAAGGGCATGAGGCATGCTCCATGATAACTACAAGAAGGACATTTCCTCTCTTGTGCTGCTGCTGTTCACTCAGCAGTGGGCTGTTTGAATTCAGTGATGTAGATTAAAAACTAATTATTTTTATTTTTTGTAATTGGCATGTTTGCCTGCTCCCTCTGTGGGTGCCTGAGGAATCAAACCCAAGGTTTGATCAAACCAAAAAGTATCAGCCATTTGACACCTACCCCATGTGATTTCATGGTATGACCTCTAATTTTTTGTTGAATGTTACATCCAAGTGGGGTAAAGCTGTGCAAATAGTTGCTTTCTATGAGCTTAATGCCTGGTTCTTGTCAGGCTCTGGTGTGTCTGCAGTTTGGTAGCTCCAAACCCCTTCTCACACTGTTTGTCTGTCAGGGTTTGTGGAGGGGTTCCTCTGGAGGGTGCCGGTTGGAAGCTGCACTGCATATGTGTGTGGAGAGCTGAGAACCTTCTCTGATGTCTTTTTCACGCTCTCCATGTGAGCCAAGCTGTTAGGCTATACAAGGCAGGAATGAAAGTAATCCAAAACTAGGAAGTACAAGATGTATTCTTGTGTCATCCCCTACCCCTGCCAGCTCTGGAGGACAAATCAGTGGTTGTTTAGATGTGTTAAGCAGACTCTTCATTTCCCAGTTTCCATTAGTTTGTTGTTTCCATTAGTATTGTGAAAGCATACGTGCCAGTGCTGGGTAACACACGGGTTAGATTAACTTGCAGTATCAAGCAATCCAGATACTGGAGGGTCAGCAGAGAATGGAGTTTGAGTCCAGTTTGTGAACTCCTTCCAGTGGGCCTTCTGTCTTGCAGGTGGTTTAGGACACCTTGCTTGCAAATTCTTTTTAATGCACTGCTTCACCATACATTAGCTGTAGTGCCCTCATTTTCCAATAGAAGTGCTAGTTCCCCTTCTGTAAGAGGTGCTGCCATGGAATTAGGGTGTGCTGCCGTGTTGGGGAGCCTTCGGGAGAGGGCTGCTGAGTGTGACCGGGCCGGGCAGCAAGAGGGGAGCTCCAGCCAGCAGGGGCTGTGCGAGGAAAAGGGGGAGCTCGCAGCTTGTGCCTCCTGCATCCTCAGCAGGAGCCTATTTCAGCAATGAGAAGCTGAACTGGGGCAGTGCAGCTCAGCTCCCTTGGTTCTGCAGTGTATGCAGCCCTGCTCAGCCCTGCTCTGCTGCTTATCTTCCTGGGCACCTCCACCCTGCCTCATCCTGTCTGTGCACAGCACCCCTGCATGGAACCCATGAAAACTTGGAGGTGGGAAGGAGGGATGCAGCTCCCCCTGGGTGGGAGGCGTTCCTGCGGGTTAGGAACGTCTGATCACATTATGTACTTTGGAGAAGAGAAGATCCTCTCCTTTGTCTCTCTTCTTCGGTTTAATAGTGTGAATAAAATCTGTTGTGGAGACTTGCTCTGTGTGTAAGTGATCATTAGTGCAATGGAAGTTACTTCTGAGGTACTTATGAAAACCCTAAAAAAAACCTGTAATCCTTAATTAGGTAAAGATAATTAGTGTGAATTTTTTGAAGTGTTGCTGATCTTGAGAATTTACCACGGAGTTACATGAGCAGGTTTTAGGGCTCATATTAAACTGGTGGGGCTACGAAGATGGTGAAAGGCCTGGAGGGGAAGACGTACGAGGAACGGCTGAGGGCACTGGGCCTGTTCAGCCTGGAGAAGAGGAGGCTGAGGGGAGACCTCATCGCAGTCTACAACTTCCTCGTAAGGGGGTGTCGAGAGGCAGGAGACCTTTTCTCCATTAACACCAGCGACAGGACCCGCGGGAATGGAGTTAAGCTGAGGCAGGGGAAGTTTAGGCTGGACATCAGGAAGGGGTTCTTCACAGAGAGAGTGGTTGCACACTGGAACAGGCTCCCCAGGGAAGTGGTCACTGCACCGAGCCTGACTGAATTTAAGAAGAGATTGGACTGTGCACTTAGTCACATGGTCTGAACTTGGGTAGACCTGTGCGGTGTCAAGAGTTGGACTTGATGATCCTTAAGGGTCCCTTCCAACTCAGGATATTCTATGATTCTATGATTCTATGGTGGAGCTCTTAAGCTTGAATTTAGTTGTTACTGAGATCCTGCTTTCAGTACTATGTGCATTTCTGAAAATCAGTAGCTTTCCAAATATCCCCATGTTAAAATAAATAGCTACTGAGTTCTGTAGCTGACATTTTTTAACATTTCTTTATTTTAGCAACTGTTTTTTTTTTATTCTTATAGTGAATCTGATGGCCATTTTGTTTATTTGCAGGAGTTAAAGAGGACAGTAGTTCTATTTTTTTTGAGAATTACAGTTTGGGTTACTCACTCAGCCTTAGCAGCGTCCCCTTGCCTTACCCAGGACTCAGCTCAAGCCTGTTGTGTTTGATTATTGCAACACACACAGTTAGTAACATCTCCTGCTGTTGTGAGGCCCCTTGTAGGAGACCATATGTGCTACAGCGGAAGTGCGCTTCAGTTTCTTCATCGATTGTCGTGCTGCTTACTGTAACTAGGAAACATTTGAACTTTCAGGAGAAATATTTAATTGTTTTATTGTTTATACATCAAATCCAGGAATAAGCTTAATGAAGTTTCAACAAAATGGAGACATCCTCTTTTGTGTGTTGCTGCTGTTAGAAGTACGGCAGCGGTCATTTTGGCACTAGGAGCACATACTTGGTGGTGGAGGGGAGAAGGAAACCATCACACTTCTGCATGTTCTCATTTGTTAATGGTGTTTCGACTCCACAAGGGAATCTAGTCACTTAATTGTGCTGAATCTCTGTTACGTAAGTTGAGAAAGGTAACGTTATCCAAAGGAGTGGATAGTGAAGGCCCTGTGTTGCAGTTAAACTTCGGTGTGTTAGATGAGAGTACAGGGTGTTATCAAGTTAAAGGTAACTGGCCCTTCATTAAACATTATTTCCTCTTCATCTCTTCTATCGATGTAAAATAATATAGATGGGAAATACTACAGTATTTGTGCTTTGTACATCACACAGACTTATTTAAAACATTTCAAGAATATTAGTTGCTAAATGGAAACAAAATTGTCTGAGATCTTTGATAGACCAACGCTTAGGTACTTCTGCAGAGCCAGAACTACAGTTGATATCTTAAGATGTGATGAATTTGGAACTTTTTGTCATTATATATATATTTATATTTTACACATCTATAGAAATATACATGTGAAAAGTTTATATATTAAATGGGTTTTTAATATAGGTTTTCTCTATAAAAAGAAATATATATGTATAAAGGTCTTTATATATGTATGTGTACTACAGCAATGTAGGCAAAATAGACTGTTCGGAGGAACTAGGTAAAAATGTTAAGCTTCATGAAACATTTATATTATGTGAAACATTTATGTATGAAATTGTAACAATCTCAAATGTTTTGAGAAATATGTAGACTTTGGACCCCTTTTACAAATCCTCCAAGGCACATATGGGGGGCTCCAAGTCCCGAAATCCTTCGTAGCACCCTAGCCAGATGCAAGATTTGTCCTGTACCTCCAGCACCCGTACTGCGTACACCCACAGAGCTTGGAACATCTCCCTGGGTGCTGCATTAAATGTAAAAGGCAGTGAAGAAAATCTTTGCAGCTGTGCCCAGAGCTACTTGACAGTAACAGCCACGTTGTGTATGGCACTGCAGTCTTCATGATACCAGAAATAAAAATCTCTCAGTTCTAGCTTTCAGAAATTGAAATATCACTTGCATGTGGTTCAGTGGAAAAAAAAATAGGGAGGAAAAATTAAGTTGATTATAAAAAATATTTTTTGGAAGTTTTAGGTGAAACGAGAGGGAGAGGGTTGTTTGTTGTAGAAGAGCAGTAATTGCAGAACAGCCTGTGCAGCTCTGAGCATAATTTGCAGCTACATATCACGCAAGGGAAGAGGTGCTTGGCTTCCCCTTCTCCTTCTGATCGGCTTGTATGGCTCTGAAGTAGGCAAAATAGGATGTGAAGCCAAGCAGTGCAGGGATGGGCGATGATGCTGCTATTACTGACATCAAGGATGTGCTGTGCCTCATCCAGATCCATGCAGTTTGGTAGTTTTGTAGTCAGTGCCTTGGTATTCAGGCAAACCATGGGCTGGCATTGCTCGGCAGTTGAGCTCTGCGGAGCACTTGAAGCAGCGAGCTGTTACTCAACTTCAGATGACTGACTCAATTAAGAGTTTCATTTAGAAAATGAACATGGTACATGACAGTTACATTTGAAGGAAATACTACCCCAGTGAGCCATAATGGAAAATGAAGTCAGTGAGATCTGGAGCCAGGATATCTAATTTTAATCTGAACTTTTTGTGAAGTAGCTTTGATAGCATCTACAGTTGACATCAAGTTCTCTAACTGGGCAGAAATCACTGATGGTGAGGGATGCTTTGCTTTAATAGGAGGCATCCAGCAGGTCGTTACAAATTTCCTCTACTTATGGAAACTTACCGTGTAAAAGTATTGCTGTTTTTCAAGACTTCATTTGACAGCAAAGCATGTGAGGCTATTCCAATTTTAAGCTTCTTTATCCCTTGCCTTCTTCTACCTAGTTCTCAATCTACCTTACCTCTTGTTTGCCATTTGTGTTCAGGCAAGAATATTTTGAAGAGAGATGAAGTAATTAACACTGGTTGAGGTGTTAGCGTGCTGACAATATCAACATTTCTGTTTTTCCAGTGGAACCTTCTGACAAGGAATGATATTTTTAAATGTAGTGTTCAGACATCTGATTCACTGGTCTTTCTGTGCACTAATCCATGGACTAGGTTGTGCCTGGAAGGGGGAGGGAGGCTGGGTGAGAGTCTGAAAAGAGCCCTCTTAAGCTGATTATACAGCTGCAGCGATGGACTGAGTCTGCCTCAGTGAGCCCACAGGGAACTGGTCTTGCATGTGAAATCAGGATGTGCTGTGTGACTACAGTTTCTGCAGGCACAGAGTATTCCTAGCAACAGGTAGGAATACAGCAGATAGCTGGAAGTAGTTCTGGAACAGTTCTGTTTCAAGTGCCTGTGTTAGAGGCAGCCCAGCCCTACAGGCCACGTCCGTGCTGCTGTGACCTGTGTCACACCGTGCTGGGCCCAGTTGGGAGAGGCAGGTCTGCAGTGCTCCCACTGCTTTGCCCATCTTGATTATAGGTTTGGCAGAAAGTTCACATCACTACAAGGCTTGGTCACACTCGAAGACACGAGCATGGCCTGTTTGAACAAGTCGGTGGTGAATTAAATGCAAAATTGCTAAAAAGCCCTGAGTTAGTGGACAGTATGTAACAAATGGTCCTGTAAGTATGTGTTTTAATAAGTGTACCTATCCATCATTAGTGGACAGTGCAGCTAATGATAGTGAGCCTATTTCTGTTTAAAGTCTGCAAACCTTTACTGAAGCCTGCTTGGGAAGGTGCTTTGCATTAACACTGTGCCATGTTAAATGCCAGATATCACTGCAGCTTGCTCTGTGCACGTGCTGGTGTTGATGCTTCCTTCAGTTGTGAAGATAAAGAATTAGAAACTTTGTTTCATTCACCTTTCAAAATTCTTTCAAAATTCCATTTCAAAATTCCATTAAGCTCACTAATTTGGAGTTATCTCTGTCAGTTCAGTAGTTTAAGACAGCATCACAGCAATATGCAAAATAGCATAAAATGCATGAGGCAAGATGTCAGTGAGCTTGTTGCACATTACTTTGTGGATGTTAGCCTTCCTTGGTTCATTGTATTTAATTAATAACTCCTTGGAGGGTGCTTCTTGCTTGCTGCTCCCCTCCAACCCTCCCCCCCCCCCTTTTTTTTTTTTTTGGTAAAAGCTAAGACCACTGTACTTACACTGCAGGAAGCATAGTTCAGCTGTAAAGCTTAGCTTTAACCCAGAAATAACTAGATAAGGAAGTATTTGGTAAGTGCACTTCATAAAGAGCCTGCATTTAAAAATTGATTAGATAGTTAATTGAGCTTAGCAACACACTTGTTGACTGTTTTGCTGCTGGATACACATACCCTGTCTCCGCAGCTGACTAGACCCCGCTGGATGATGTTCCATCTGCCTGATAAGCAAATGAGAGAGCAAGTTGGAGCAACAATGTGTTTGTTTTTAGTTGTGGTACCAGAACCTTCGCATAACCGATGCCGATTATCTTGGATATAATGATTCATAGCTCTTACGTAGTTTAAAAAAAAAAAAAAAAGTGCCACCACCACGGCTCAAAGTTCCTGTGCTGCAGTTAAATACCTGGCACCTGCTTTCTAAATGGCACTAGTCCGTCCCTCCTTCCTCTCCCAAATCTGTACTGTGTGTCACGAGTGTAACATTCAGAACCACAGCAAAGGGCCTTGCACCTACCTTTTAGACTGCTCTTTTTTTTTTTAATGAGATTTCATTTAGAAAAAGATTGTTACACACACCATACAGAGTGAAAGAATTTGAAGCAATGGAAGGAAAAATGTCTGGTCTTAAGTCATTATTGGCTTCTGTAGATTCTCTGCAAATGAGAGACAAAACCAGAAAGAGATTTTCTAGTCATAGGGGGGTGTCCTGTAGGCAGTACTGCCATTCTTGACATGATACTGCACTGGAACCATGCTCCAGGAATTTATGTTCTCAGGTACTAATGGAGCTAGCTTTAAAGGGAAGATGGTTTTACAGCCCACAAAGTGGAGAAGGGATGGTGGCATCAATTTTTGCGTTTACCAAGAGTTTCCTGATATTTCTGTAAAGCGTTTATTCTTTCCAACTTTTGTTAACCCTGTTATGCCAAAACACAGCTCCCCTCCCTGCCCCAGCACCTTTTCTGGTCAGAAAGATGAGTCCTTTATTTTGTGGGGAGCCAGCCTCTGCTCAGACCTGTGGCTGTTGTTGTGCTGGGTTGGCAGTCTGGCCTGGGTGATAGGCCAAAAAGTGTTTTCCTTTTCTCAAATGAAAGGGCAGCTGTGCACATAGAAAGTCAGCTGGAAGATGTTCCCTTTTAAAACATGAAATGCTGCTGATCAGTTGGTTGGTGGTACCGTCCCTGTATTTGCAAGGAAGAGGTTTTCATCCCCATAAGGACTTGAAATTCAGCAGGGGCTGGGATTGTTGCCTCTTTCGGAGTGCCCCTCTCAGTTTCTGTGTGCTGCTTTACTCTTTGAAAATGCCATTCAAAATCTGAGCTATATATTGTATTCTGCACTTGTGTCATAGGCTACCAAGCTTTATCATAGAAAAAAAGCAGCAGTTACCAGGTAACAGTAGTAAGGCATTAACAGTATGCATTTCTTTTTCTTTTCAGGGAGCAGAAGTTCTACTGGCATTTGAAGCTTGTATTTCCTCACTGTCATGCTGAATACACTTTAAAAAGGTACAGAGTTTGGTAAACAGCTTTGTATAAAGTTTAAATTCTTCTTCTGGAATTAAACTGGAAAATATTTTGATTAGTTCTTAAATATTTCTATTATATAAGGTAAACTTGAATATTACTTTCTGCCTTAATTACAGGAGTATTTAAGTTAACGCTGTGTAGTATTTTAGTCCTTGAAAGCTAGTGGGCTTTTCAAATCAGGTGAAATATTTCATTGCTAGTCATTCCTTGATATAAACAGAACAGCTTGTATATTCATGGTGGTGACATGCTGTACTGCTAATCTATTCTGCTCTCGTGGAGCAGGGATTCAGCAGGATTTCACTTTCCCCTCCGCTTGCACGCTGGAGCTGACCTTCACATACAATGAAATGGTTGCATTGTTTCCTTTGTAGGAAAGCCCATAAGCACATTTTGCAAAATCCCCAAACTAAGCTTTTATTGACAAATCTTTCTTCTTTTTTCCTAGCCTGAAGGGGTATGAGAAGTACGCCCGCATCTACTTCTGGGCTGTACGAACAGCACGTTATACTGCAGGGTTTGAAACTAGAGATACTCATCTGTTTACTCCTTATAGATGCCAGTAAAGTCCCAGTGTTGAAACTGAGATAGAGCTGTCAATTACCTGTGCTGTATTGATACACATTTCTAATCCTCTTTTAAAGTGCTCAGTTGTACCACTGTAGCATGCAAATACACAGTGACTCAGATAATAGATTTTTGTGTACACGATGAAGCATGTCTGATGTATTTGATTTTTATCTTCTGTGAAAGGGTGCCAGAGGATAAAACGCTCACCGATATCCTTAAGCCCTACATTGATCCAGTGGAGTCAGATCCTGTAGTTTGTCAAAGGTGTGTACTGAACAACTTTCTGTCTAATTCACTAATAAAAGAAAGTCATCCTGAACAGATTGCTTAAAGTAGTTGCACTTTCAATATGTAAAGTCGAGGTCCCTGTCAGCAGGACATCTTTAATTCCTGTGGCAAAAAACAGCCCAAGTTTCACAAATAAGTAACCCTGGAATATAGCCACAACATTTAAATCAGTAGAAGATTAAGATATTGACTCATAGCATACAGATCAAATAAAGGCATTGTAATTTTAAAAAATATGACCGTAATTATCTGCAGTGGGGGTGACAGTGAACCTTTTCTTTGGAGGAATTAGAAAAACACTAGTAATTTTACCCCTAATTTTTAGAAGGTGCTCAACATATGGCAAATGCTTGTGTTTTTATGAAGAAATAAATGCTTTTGCTTGTTGATGTACAAAAGATATCCATCTCTTACAGATGATAAGAGTGTGAAGTACGTCATTGTCTCTTGATCTGTTGTTTATTCTTATTTTTCAGATTAAAAATCTATACAATGTCTCCTCAGTCAGATGTACGAATTTTAATGAAAATAGAAAACAGAAAGCAAAACTCTATCAGGTAAGGTGGTTCTTTAGACTGTGTGCCTCTTAAGGATAGAAAAATATATATATATATATACATTTCTTAGTCTTTAGTATCACAAGGACAAATCACATATCTCATGGATTAAGCTTCGGTGAGTAATTACCAGCCATTTTAAGTGATTCTGCAAAAAACATTATTTCTTTGTCCTTTAGTATGTCAATATTGAAATTTCTGCACAATTACCGTGATTGGTAAATTCAGCTAAGTCATACTTGGATGATTTAAGAAGCTGTGTCACTCGCAGCTGCATTGGTGGACTGGTATGTGTGCCTGTGCCTGAACTGCTTCAGCAGCAGTCCGTGAGAGTGTTTCAGTGTTTGCACTGAAGTTAGGTTTGTGTTAAATGCTAAATTAATGCATTGACCAGCTGAAGCGTAGTGTCCATTCTCTTCTATAAGCTCATCTGTAGATATGTGAACCTCTCATGGGAGTCAGCTGGAGAGCTGTTTTTTTTAAACCACCATTGCAGCAAAAATGACTTCCCAGCATCCAGTTGCTGAATTGGAAGTGACATATTTTTCTCAACATTACTAGCTCATTACTCTTCATGTTAAGATATTGCTGGGTGGGGGCTTTTAAATTTCCAGAGTTTTGACTTGTGAAAAATTGTTTTCTTTGTTTCCAGAACAGACAATTATAATCTTGGACTTCAAAATTAAACTTTAAATAAATAGTTTTTGATGGTATAAATGCCATTTTAAAGACTCCACCCTGTTGTCATTGTTACTGAAAAGGATATGTACCAGCTTTAATATCATAGCTTATTGTGGTTGACCAGTGATTCCTAGTTAGGGTTCTTAAAGTACATTCTTTTCTTCAAATGTAACAAATGGAAATATACTTCTCTGAAGCGTGGTATGTTATTTCTAAGGGGAAGAAAAAAGGTATAGTAAAAGAACACCAGTTGTAACTGAACTTCATGTTTGTGCTATGTTTCTCTTTCCCAGTAAGTGTTATTCAGCAGTGAGTAACATACTTCAACATTCAAGCCACAAATATAAACTTCTCATGGTTTTGATTTTTTTCGCCTCTTTGCAATCACTGCTTGAAATAAGGTTGTAAAATTTGCCATCAGAGTTCTCAGCTATAAACCTGTTGGGTTTGAGTGAAATGTGTGGACTGACTTCCATTTAATTCAAGCATGGCCTAATTCTCTGCATTTAGGGGGGGAATTAAAAATGCTGGTATTGTGAGCTGATCTGAAGAGTTCTGTGTGGAAGGACCACAGGCAGGTGAAGCTTTCTCAGGTTTCTCTCTCAGCTGCATTTCCCAGTGCTCCATGAATTCAGTGCAGGCACTTCAGTCATGCAGGTTGTGTATGGTGCTGTACCCAAGTAAAAAAGCCATTCTAGAACTTAGTGCTAGGAAACAGCATCAGAACAATTTCCCATTTTACAACACTTTATAGCAGACTTGGGCTCAGCTGTCAGTAGTGGTATTCGGGACAGGTTTCCAGAGCACGAACAGCTTCTGTCCCCTTTGCAGATTAACATAGGAAAAACTGAGAATGCATTCAGTTTGTTAGTGCTGTACATCATTCTGCAGTGCATGGTTGGAAAGGCAGTATTCAGGTGATGGTGCTGAATATTCATTAGTATTTTTAAAATATAGTAATTTATACGCAGATTTTTTTCAGTTATTTTAGTTTTAAGCTTTTGGCATCTTTTTCAGTTACAGAAGTGTTAATGACTGCTTAAACTGCTCCTTAAACTTTCAGATAGGTGCTTGGAAGAAAAATTTGCTTTTGTAATAGCAGATTAAATTCATCTTTTAGTCATTTGATGTAGGATAGTAGTGTAGAAAGCTAGAGAAGGAAACCAATTTAATATCAAGTGGACAATTTCTCTTGCTCCTTGGTTCCTTTTGTTACTTAACCATTTTCATCTTCTGAAAATGGTATAATGCTTCCTTAGCTCATGTGTTTGTTGAGAGAAAACTCTTTTTCATGAAGCTTTTTAGAAGAATCGCAGAAGTTGTGCTATCTGCAAAATAAATATAACTAGCCTGAAATTGGAGTTTCACCCTGTACTTCCAGAATCATCTTTGTTTTCCAATATCAAAGTTATAGTAATTAGTATTTAATCGGTGAATCGTACATTTTAAGAAGAACTGCAGGAAGTTAACAAGAAGTCTTTTGGATAAGAAATACATCTCCTTGTCAGTAGAGCAGGCCCAGCTGTGGCAGCATGGGCAGGTCATGGAAGCAGCACACTGAAAGAAAATCCTGCTTCTGACAGGAAAGGACAAAGTTGGTTTGACATGATGGGACTGCCAGCTCAGCAGAAAAGCATCTTCTGTCAACATGAGCTGGGGCTCTGCCAGCAGGCTCTTGGTGTAGTTGTGCTAGCAGAGTTGTTGTGACAAAGGCTCTTGGAGGGAATTTAAGCTTTTACTGCAGTTGCATTATAGTTAAGGGAGAATTTATTTTGATTTTGTCTCCTTTGGGCTCCCCACCATTAAATTAATTAGGATGTGCGTTGTCTCGTAGTAAAAAATCAGTACCTGGGGTTGCGGTGGGAATGCTTGATACTTGCTATTGATACAGACCAGCTTGTGTCTTAGTGGGGAGCTGCTAGTTTGTAAAGTCAGTGGTGCCACTGTGAGCTCACTCATCCTGTGCCACCTCCTCTGCCTGGTTTTAGGCTGTGTGCTCCTGTAGGGCAGAACCCTCTTCGTTCCTCTTTGTCACTCCGGGGACAGCAGCCTGGAGGAATGCGGTTGGTGTAGTCTACGAATCATGCAAGTCTACATAAATACTCTGTTATCCAGCACTTCCTCTGGTCCACCAGAGAAATTACTTCTCCATAAGTAGTGGGTTAGTAGGAAGGCTGTAAAAATGTATTTGTTTGAGTGGATGTTGGTTTTAGGCTTAGCAGAACCATTTGAGAAAAATACTTTTCATAGCTGGGATTATGTATTATTGAGTCAGTGCAGTGGTGTTTCAGAGAACGTCTAAGTAGGATTATTACGGGTTATAAAATGTTAGTCTGCTAGTTTTAAGTATGTTACAGAAGGATTTTAGTATTTCCTGCAAATGTTTATGAAACAGGAGTTTGTGGTTTAGTTTTGTCTGTTTTCTGTATTTCACAGCAAACAGTCCTTTCAGTTTTGGAAGTCCTTTGCAGAATGCTTTAAATTGGGGATGGAGGGAAAGGGCGGGGGGAGGAGGAGGCTTTTTTTCTTTATCCAGAAGTATAAATTATCCACACAGAACAGATTTCTGCTTCGTCACAGGAATTGTGCAGCAGTTGTGCATTGTTGTGTGGTTCTCACAGAGAGCTGCCACGCAGCATGGTGCTGGCTTTCTCCCCACTAGGTGCTTTCTGTAATCCCTGGCAGTTCTTAGTGAACTCTCCTATCTGTGATAAGCTCTTGTGGGTTGCTGTTGTTGTTGTTCTTCATCCTGATCTCTAGCTCTTCTTTACTCTACAAGCAGCTTGTAAGAATTGCTTTCAGTTTGAGCTGGTAGCACCCCGTAGTTGTTCAGAGTAACCTAAAGCATGATCTCCCCTCGTGTCCTCTTGTCCGCATCTGTCACCTAGTGCTCCATGGCACTACACCCGTTACACCACTCGATAGTCTTGTCATGTAATTGCACTTACTTTATAAGGACTCTTGTGAAGGAGGGTTTAAAAACATGGGTGTTACACAACTCTTCTTTCTTTAAAACTTTGGTTTGGAAAAAATCTGCATTTGAATGGGTTGTTATAATAGTTTTCCGTTCTGTGGTGCTCTCCTCTATCACCTGTTACGCAATATTTAGTTGGTGTCCATTCTGTCCTTGGCTGAAAATATTCCAAGAAAGGTTTAGCTGCTGCCTCTTGGATGATTTTTACAGTCTACATTCTTTTATAAAATAGTCTTTTCTTTCTTCAGGATAAATTAATGTCCTGACTGTCTTCAGTCCTTTATTTGGGATGCCTTCAAAGTGACTTCATATGGTAAGAGCATTGCTTTTTCCACTAAGGAAAGAAAAAATGCAACTGCCAAATTATACAGTCTGGTTTGGGAAATACACCTTCTTTTTCTTCTGTTCCTGACAATTGCCTTATTAGGCTTTGTGTAAGCAAAAAAAAAGCAAAAACAAACAAAAGTCCGAAATCCAGCAGATCCTTGATATTTGTTACAGCTTGCTTAGTGGCCAGAGTTTTGGGGGGTTTTGTGACTGTAGATTTTAATGGCATCATTACTTACGCTTGCTTATCATAGAAGATGATCTTATTTCTACACGAGAATGAACTGCAAAAGCCTAGGATTACAGTAGATGTTTTTCTCTCTGAGACTATCAAATAAAGTTCTCTTTTACTGGGTTCATAACATCTTACGTGAAGCTAGTTGAGATAGTTGTCTGTCTTTAGACACACTTGTTTAGTTTAATGGAATTAAAAATAATGCCTTCTTAAACAACATTGTTAGGTCCTTTATAGGTCATTTTTCTTCTTTGACCATTAGTGTATTCAGAATGACATGTAAACATTGTTTCGGCATAAGTCATTGTAGAACACTTTGGAGGCACTGCCAGAACATTTAGATGTGTGGAAAATTGAGGCTGCTTGGCCTTAGAAGCCTTGCAAAAGCCCACTACTTTTGGGGGATGATGTCTTCCAAGGAAGTCTAGCTTTCCTGTTGTAAACCAGCCACACCACACAGGCGTGTTGGTGTATGGGATCAGTTGTAGTGTTGGTGTTTGTATCGGTGGTACTGGTATAGCTCATGCCTCAATTACTCAGAAAGCCAAAAATACCCAAAGCATTCTTGTACTGGTTCCAGCATCAGGGGGCTTCTCGCTTTGTGTGGTGACATTGGCCGGTGCACATGAGAATACTGGCATGGTTGCCGCTTAATTCTTGTGGACCACTGGGAAGAAAATTTGCTAAACAAGTATCAGAGGCTCTCCTCTACTAAATGTCATTGCTTTATGGTGGTGAATGCTTATTTTGCTTCAACTGATCCAGTGCAGTTGCTTCCCAGAA